TTACTAAAACTGGAGACTGTGAAATCTGGTGCAGCTCTGCATAGAAGCCAATCCGCTTCCAGGTATTATTGCCAAAGCTTAATTGAAGAAGCTAAAGTTAGAAGCTGATTGGCTACCATGCACAGCTGCACCAGTTACTGAGTGCTCCAGCTTTAGTAAATCTCCCCCTATGTACCCAGTGGGGGAGTCAGGAGCCATCCGTCTCTGTAAGACTCCTGTTCATGTTAAATGACAGCCACAGTGGCTGCCCCATGTAGGGTCACTAACCTATTCGCTGTCATGTTTCCACACACTTCATCTACCCCGAGGTCAGTGATGTATTTTGGTTTTGTGCTGCCCTAGGGAAGACTAAAATTTGGCGTCCCCACAAGACTGAAATCGGGCGCCTCCCACCATCTTAATTTGTCCCACGCCAGCCACAGTATACCATTTGGTGCCAAATTATGGTACCTAAAAATCTCCATAGGCAACATTTTAAAAACATTTTAAAAGCCTTCATAAGTTACCTGTTTAGAGTTACACAGGAGGTCTGGTGCTAGAAATTTTACTTTCACGCTGACATTCATGGCAGTACATCACATGTGTGGTGTGATCTCCATTTACATATGTGTGAGGGACCTATGTGCATGTGAGCATGGGGGAACAGGGGTGCTTTAATTTTTTTTCTGCTATTTTATTATTTCTATTTTTTTTGTACACTTTACCTTTTTTTTTTGTATCAACTTTATTTGTATTAAAAGGGATGAACAACATCCCTTGTGATAGCATGGGCCATGGCAGTTCCTGTTTATGGTGAGATCTAGAGTCTATTAGACCCCAAATCTCTCCTCTGGCCTCCCAATGCATGCGATCACACACAGATCATTCTGATCGTTTGCATTGGGACTGCATAGTAGAGCCTGGTAAAGGCGTCAGTGGCAGGAGGGGGAGGGACGCCCTTCCTCCGCCTGTAAAAGTAATCCAGTGGCTTGTTAGCCCCCAGATTACTTTTGTGTAAAATGAGAGAGAGAGAGGAGAAGAGGCAGAGAGAGAGAGAGGAGAAGAGGCAGAGAGAGAGAGAGGAGAAGAGGGGGAGAGAGAGAGGAGAAAAGGGGGGGGAGAAGGGAGAGAGAGAGAGAGGGGGAGAGAGAGGGGGGGAGAAGAGAGGGGAGAGGGGAAGAGAGAGAGAGGGGGAAGAGGGGGATAAGAGAGAGAGGGGGAGAAGAGAGAGGGAGGAAGGAAGAGGGGGGAAGAGAGAAAGGGGGGAGAGAAAGAGGGGGGAGAGAGAGAGGGAGGAGGGGGGGAGAGAATAGGGAGGAGAGGGGGGAGAGAAGAGGGAGGGGGGAGAGAGGGGGGGAGAGAGAGAGAGGAGGTGAAGAGAGGGGGGGAGACGGAGGGGGGAGAAGAGAGAGAGTGGGGGGGGGAAGAGAGAGAGGATGGAGGAGAAAAGGGGGGGGGGGGGGGGGGAAGAGAGAGGGGGGGAGAGAGAGGATGGAGGAGAAAAGGGGGGAGTGAGAGGAGGGAGGGGGGAGAGGGGAGGGGAGAGGGAGGGGGTGAGAGAGGGAGGGGGGAGAGAATAGATAGAGAAGGGGGAGAAGAGAGAGAGAGGGGGAGGAAGAAGAAGGGGGGGGGGGGAGAGGGAGATGCTGACAAGTAATGGAGCACTTATCTGGGGTCTGTGGTGTCTGCGGCTGCACTGATACCTGACATGCAGCGATGGTCTCCTCTCCTGCACCCCCTCTTCACGGTCAGCTGACCTCTAGGCTCCGCCCTCCGGACCTATGCAGTGAATGGAATAGAGAGGCCGGGCGGGTGGAGCATAGCTGCGATGGTCAGTCCAGGTCTGGGCTTCCTGCCAGATCCTAACGATATCAGTGGGTGCAGCAGGGAATCAGCGCTCCGGGAAGGCACAGAAAGCCGGCTTGCCAATTATTCAGGATGGCATAATCCGAGCCCACGTTCCCCTGCTCAAGACTTGCTGAGCCCGCCCCCCTGCCTTCCGCCTGAGCCTGCCTCCCGCTCAAGCTCATGATGAGCAGTGCTGCCCCCCTGAAAAATGCCACCTTAGGCCAACCCCCCTGCCCCGAGGTCACTGTTTTAGTAGTGTATACACATACAGGTAGAACACAGAGCACAGTGGAATGAGCTTATATATTTAAACCTACCTTTCCATGCAGCAAGGACTTAAATATTTGTGCTCTTCATGAGCTCTGGTCACATCCAGGGAATATCTGATTGCCTCTTGGGGGATCAGGTAGGAATGTTTTCCCCTGCAGGAGCACATTGGACCGTGCTTTGCTGGTTTTTTTGCCTTCCTCTGGATCAGCTGTGGGCGTAAGATTATAACATTTGTTTTAATGGTTGAACTAGATGGACTTTTGTCATTTTTCAGCCAGACTAACTATGCAACATCTGCTATCCAACAATTCCTGGTAAGTCAGATAACTTTAATGCTGGCCCCACATCTGCTCATACTTATTTTCCTTTGGTCAGCTGCCCCAGGACACTTGCCTTCCCCTCCACCCTCTTCCTCTCTGTTGAGCTTCCATAATTGAAGAGCCAGTACATTTCAGGTATGAGGGAGCATGTTACTCACTCCCTTCCACATGACAGCACTGGTGATTGGCTGCTCATGCACCTAGATCACATGAGGGCAGGTTGAGAGTACTGAGCCCTAATTAAAGCGGGACTTAACCCTCCTAGCCTTTACAGCCCAGGAAGCTGCCATCTTAGCTGCTCTTTGATCTGCAGTTGCCATGGTGCTGCACATGTGATCAGTTATGATACTGGACATTTCCTGGTTTGACAGTTTGGTTGAGAGCACAAGCCGATGTGATAGTTGGCATTCCTGGCATGCTGGGAGCTTAGAGCTCCATCCTAAACTAAAGGCAGGCTGTGGTGGAGATCTGCAACACTACAGAGTTCAAAGACCTGGAAAACTGGAAAGGTTAACCCACCTGCGGAAGAGCAGGAAGTGGTAAGCAGGTGTCTGTGAGGTGTTGAGTGGAGAAGTACGCAGTCGTGTGAACTATCTTGGTACTAAGACACTGCTGCTGAGCTTTTCAAACATTTCTGGACTCCTGAAGCAAGCAGGAACTTTAAAAAGAAAAACCCTGTGGTGGGACAAGCCTATAATGATGAGTCCCCACTTGCAGAATCTGCTCTAAAAGGGGACCCCGGATGGTGACACGCCTGAGACACGCATATGAAATTTGAAGTATATACCCAAGGTGCGATTGGAAGGTGTATGATCCTGTTCCTATCTTGGCAATTGATGATCGCTATCTGATACCACAGGATAAATCTTACATGCGTTTTTTTTGACGCACTTCTGGTGAGTGCGCAATTTTTACATCAGATTCACCGTGTGATACACAGAATCTCATCCCACGCACTTACTAGGATCTATTGGATCCCCACGTTTGACCTATTTTGGGACTTTTTCATCTCACTTAACCTCACCGCAGTGTGATTTGACATTTGCACTTTATTATATATATTTTAATATGTTATATATGCCATTTTACTATTATAGCGCTGCACCTTATATATGGTTTTAGATATATATATATTTACATGCTGGGAATGTAACTGTTTTTTGAATAACAATAAACCAGTGGGGTTTAGTTCCCCTTTAAGCTCTACACCTGGCCACATACTATGCAATCTCATTTTACAATCTCCGATATCCCCGGACCCTGAATTCACTATATCCGCTCTCCGCGGACCCTGCATTCACTATATCCGCTCTCCCCGGACCCTGCATTCATTATATCCGGTCTCCTCAGACCCTGCATTCAATATATCCGCTCTCCCTGGACCCTGCATTCACTATATCCGCTCTCCCCGGACCCTGCATTCACTATATCCGCTCTCCCTGGACCCTGCATTCACTATATCCGCTCTCCCCGGACCCTGCATTCACTATATCTGGTCTCCCCGGACCCTGCATTCACTATATCCACTCTCCCCGGACCCTGCATTCACTATATCTGGTCTCCCCAGACCCCGCATTCACTATATCCCTCTCCCAGGACCCTGCATTCACTATATCCGGTCTCCCAGGACCCTGCATTCACTATATCCAGTCTCCCAGGACCCTGCATTCACTATATCCTCTCTCCTCGGACCCTGAATTCACTATATCTGCTCTCCCTGGACACTGCATTCACTATATCCGCTCTCCCCGGACCCTGCATTCACTATATCCGGCTCCCTGGACCCTGCATTCACTATATCCGGTCTCCCCGGACCCTGCATTCACTATACCTGTTCTCCCCGGACCCTGCATTCACTATACCTGTTCTCCCCGGACCCCGCATTCACTATATCCGGTTTCCCCGGACCCTGCATTCACTATATCTGGTCTCCCCGGACCCTGCATTCACTATATCCGCTCTCCCCAATCCCTGCATTCACTATATCTGGTCTCCCACAGTACACACAACATAGAAATGCAATTATTTTAGTAAATATAAACTGCTAAATCCCTTTTCTCATCAGCAGTATATAGCAGTCTTGTGACTTCTATCAGTATTCACAGTATTCAGCAAAGCACTGGTTAAAGCTTTTAGGAAGAGTTTTCTTTCTGCTCTAGGAGGATGCAGAACCCCTGACCTCTGTCTGGACAGTGCTGATTGGCCCTGTGCCTATCACGTGCACTCTTCCAAGAGAAAAAAAAAAACCTCTCTAGCAATACACCCCAAACTGAGAATGTGCAGTGTCTGCACTCGATATGTCTTATCAGGAGATAAGAGGGGGACACTGGAAGAAGGGGAGGATCAGAGAAGACAGGATCAAACAGCCTTTTTACACAATGCATAGGATTAACCCCTTAGGTTCCATTGAGTATAACAAGCGTGCTTTACTGCATATGCAGACTGTTTGCACTGTTGTGGGTTTAGTAACACTTTAAAATGAAGGTGTTGCTGTGCCCTCCACATGCAAACCACAGGTCCGCTTCTACTACAGGGATCTTTTATTTTAGGGGGCTTTCCTGACAATAAACCATTTATATTTCCATGAATTTTTGTCTTCCAGATGGACAGTATAGATGGTGCGGTGCAGAGAGACGTCTCGCTGTCCTTCCTGAATCCGGAGACAGTGACACCCTATGGGATTCTTTAGGCAGTAACCACGTTCCAGTTCCAGATGCCTCTCTACACACAATCTTTCATCCCGATCCCCCCCACCCTGCCGTCCATCGTCAGCGGGGCCAAATCCTTGCTGAGAACTCCGAACCCGCCAAGCACCAGAGAATCCGGACTTCAGATAAGAAGTATCACTGTCCCGAGTGTGGGAAAGGTTTCACCGAACGCTCGAACCTTTCTAAGCACAAAAAGACTCATACGGCCGAGAAGCCGTTCTCCTGTTCGGAATGTGGGAAGGCTTTTATCCAGAGAGCCCACCTCATTACGCACCAGAGCACTCACACGGGGGAGAAGCCCTATTCCTGCGCCGAGTGCGGAAAATGTTTTTCCCGGAAGTTTACGCTCATCAGACACGAACGGGTCCACACGGGCGAGAAACCGTTCTCGTGTTCGGAGTGCGGGAAATCGTTTGTGGAGAAATCGCACCTCACGTACCATGAGAAGTCTCACGCCGCCGACAAGCCGTTTTCCTGCCCCGTGTGCGGGAAACGGTTCATCCTGAGAGCCCACCTTACGTCACACGAAAGGACCCACACCGCCGAGAAGCCGTTCGCCTGTTCGGAGTGCGGGAAGGGCTTCAGGCAGAAGTCACAACTCGCTAGGCACCAGAGAATCCACACGGCTGAGAAGCCGTTTCTCCTGCGCCGAATGTGGCAGGCGTTACGCTTGGAGAGACCTACTCGTCAAACACCAGAAGAGTCACACGGGGGAGAAGCCCTACGCCTGTCTCGAATGTGGCAAATGCTTTGCGGAAAAGACGCTTCTCGCCATACACGAGCGGGTTCACACGGGGGAAAAGCCATACTCTTGCTCCGAATGCGGCGAACGGTTTACGCAGAGAGCCCATCTCATCTCGCACCGGAGGACTCACACAGACGAAAAGCCTTTTTCCTGCTCAGAGTGCGGGAAACATTTTTCTCAGAGACAGTATCTCATTTTGCACCAAAGGACGCACACAGACGAGAAGCCGTACGAATGTTCCGAATGCGGCAAATATTTCACCCGGAGGGGCAGCCTTATCTCGCACCAGAAGGCTCACACCGGTGAGAAGCCGTATTTGTGTTCTGAATGTGGGAAACGCTTTTCGAAAAAGACTTCTCTGATGTCACATCTTGGCTCCCACCAGGAACATGAGCTTCTGCTGCCGGGATGCGGTACCTAGTGCAGGTACCTAGACATCTGTATACCATTGAGCCAGGGCAGCACAGTGGCTAAATGGTTAGCATTTCCACCTGGCAGTACTACGGGTCTTCGGTTCGAATCCCAACCATGACACCACCTGCCTGAAGTTTGCATGTGCTCCCTGTGCCTGCGTGGGTTTCCTCACACACTCCAAACACATGCTGGTAGGTGAATTGGATCCTGTCTAAATTTGGTTAGCTCTTCTGCCTGGCAGCACTAGGGGTTGTCGGTTCGACTGACAACCACGGCACCACATGGCTAGAGTTTGCATGTGCTCCCTGTGCCTGCGTGGGTTTCCTCCAGGTACTCCAGTTTCCTCCCACACTCCAAACACATGCTAGTAGGTGAATTGGATCCTGTCTAAATTTGGTTAGCTCTTCTGCCTGGGAGAACTAGGGGTTGTTGGTTCAAATCCCAACCACGGCACCACCTGCCTGGAGTTTGCATGTTCTCCCTGTGAGTTTCCTCCCACATTCCATGCTGGTAGGTTAACTAGCTCCTATGTAAATTGTCCCTAGTATGTGTATGTATGAATGTGCGTTAGGGACCTTAGATTGTACGCTCTTCGGGGGCGGGGACTGATGTGAATGTACAATATATATGTAAAGCGCTACGTACATTGATGGCGCTGTATAAGTACCTGAAATAAATAAATAATTGAGCCCCTTTGCCATCACTCATCCTATACGAGCCCCCCCTTTTCTTTGTGTTTCGGTGGGTGATTGTTACACCCAGGCACATTGGGGATGATGCCTATTCTCCCCAAGAATTTGAGTAGCTGTAAAACAACTTTTAGCCTTGGTTTACGCTGGCTGCGACTTTGAAACCGCGCAACTTCACTAGTGAGATTTCAAAGCTCCAGCTCAGTGCGATTTGTACCTCTGATTTCACTGCAGCTTGTGATTTTATTTAACCCCTCGCCCTCCAGAGGATTACCCCCCCCCCCCCCTTCCTGACCAGGCCATTCTTTGTGTTACTTTTTAAATCAAGCAAACTCTTTAGTAACCTCCCTGGCGGTATTCCTGAGTGTAGCTCGGGGTAAAGTTTCAGCACCACAAGCAGTAACCCCGAGCTACACTCGGGAATACTCTGTAGCGCTGCTCCAGGATCTCTTCTTCACTTATCTTGTCCTGCGCTCCCGCGATGTCCCTCCTGCAGTGTCCCCAGCAATGTCCTCCGGCCGATGCCGGCATCTGTCATCCGGGTTCCGTTCCCTGCGAGCGTCGGGACGTACAGGGGACGGAACTGGCGGGAAATTGGAAAAGTGACATTCGCTAAATACACTAAAATCACATAGTAAAACATTCCTGTATCAAACCATTTCACATACATTTTGTCCTGTGCCCTGCCTGCATTGTTACTGTTCTTTCTGCCTGGAAACTGAGAAACGTCCATGGCGTCCAAAAAGCGTCCCTTTAGGTCAAAAGCAGTTTTAGACCGGGTAGAGAACAGCGATAGTAAATCAGAACCACTTGCAGAATGAGTGATAATGATTCGGGGGGGAAATTCATCATCAGACACTGAAAACGATTTTGCAACTTTGCTCAGTGATGTGCGAACTTGGCGCTATATTTCACATTTCAGTGTTTTTGGTTTGATTATATTATTGAATTAAATGTATTATTATATTGTTTTTAATGATTATTTATTATATTGTAGTTTATGTTTACTAGACTCTTGTTCAGACAGATTTCAGTGAGTTATTCCTAAGAATTACAGGCCTACACTAAAAAAAAAAACATATTTCCATGCAAAAAAATTTACCGCTTTGAGCAAAGAAATATGGACATAATCAGACCGCTAGGGAGACTGTGAGAAGAATACACACAATCACATCACAGATCCAAGAAAGCCAAAGACAAAACAGTGGACAAAAGGAAATAATAGTACACAGGCTATAAGGCAAGGAAAGGAAGACTAACAGCATCAACTAACATGGTACCTTCTTCACATGAGGAGAGGGAAAAAAAAAAAAACACAACACATAAAAAGAGATGAAAAAAAAAGGGTAAAGGTAAACAGGACATAATCACACCTCCTCATCGCAGGCGTTACTTTAACTGACAACTGCGCGGTCTAAATTATTACCTGTTTTTGTTTTTAAAGTGGTAGTGAAGTCTTTTTTTTTTTTTTTTAACCACTTGCCCTTCAGATGATTCCCCCCTTCCTGACCAGACCGTGTTTTGCGATACGGTGCTGTGTTATTTTAATCGACAATTGCGCAGTCATGCAACGCTGCACCCAAATGAAATTTACTTCTTTTTTTTTTTTCCCCCACGAATTGAGCTTTCTTTCGGGGATATTTGATCGCCAGTGCGTTTTTTTTTATTTAGTGTGCTATGATAAAAAAAAAATTTGAGAAAGAAAAAATATTTTTGACTTTTTGCTATTAAATATGTCCAGTGAAAAAATGTAAAAAATTTAATTTTGTCATAAATTTAGGTCAAAATGTGTTCTGCAACATGGCTTTTTGGTTAAAAAACAAAACAAATATCTCAGTATGTGTAAATTAATTGGTTTACGTGAAAGTTATAGCATTTACAAATAGCGGTATAGATACTGGGATTTTTTTTTAAAAAAAATTATTTTTACTAGTAATGGCGGCGATCAGCGACGGGCATTCTGACACTGGGGGGGAATTGACCTGGTGTCACTGACATGCTCAGTGACACCAATACAGTGATCAGTGCTAAAAAAAAGCACTGACACTGTACTAATGGCACTGGGCAGGAAGGGGTTAAAATGAGGAGTGATCAAAGGGTTAACTGTGTGCTGGGTGTGTTTTACTAGTGACACCAATACAGTGATCAGTGCTAAAAAAAAAAAGCACTGACACTGTACTAATGGCAGTGGGCAGGAAGAGGTTAACATCTGGGGCGATCAAAGGGTTAACTGTGTGCCGTTTTACATGATGTTCTGTGTTCGTGCTTTACTGTAAGTACACTGCTTTGTATGGCTCTGCTATGCACAACCATGCAAAGCAGTGTGGGGTGGATGACACTGAATGGGGGCAGGACACTGACAGGGGAGAGAACTGTATTGTTTACAAACAGTTCCCCCCCCCCCCCCCCCCCCCCCCCCCCCTCAGAGATGCTCAGCATTCACTGGCTGCCGATGAGTAATCACCGGCCGGGAACCAGTGATTGGCAGCCGAGGCTGCGAATGGCGGTGCCGGTAGGGCGTGCAATTACTGGGCGCCTGTGAGTAATCACTGACCGGGACCCGGTGATTAACAGCTGCACCCATGAATGGCAGCATGGATAGGGCGCGCGTGCTCCTCGCGCACGCCCCTTACCCGGAAGTTCAAAGTCACGTATATATACATGATTTTGCACACCCGTGCCGCCCTGTAGCAGTACTTCTGCTATAGGGCGGACGGGAAGCGGTTAACAGAAGTCAATGCAATGCCTTAACCTCCGCAACATCTCCAAGATACACCCCTTCCTAACCAATAGTAAGGGGTATCAATGCCCGGTGCACTACTATGGTCCTCACCCAATTCCTATATATGAAATAATGTGAGGAAAAAGTAAAATATACAAGTGATAAATGACAAAACCAGGGATGCTGCTACCACTAATAATGTGTCCTCCAACACACCTAACAGGAATACATACCAACCATGTGCTGCGCTACACCTTAAAATATCTTGATAAAAAAAAAAATATATATATATATATATACATAATATACAAGTAATTAAATAGACTTTTTTAGTATTTACTAACGGACTTATTACTTAGGATATATATATATATATATACAATATTTAATCAAGAAGGGGTAGCACACCACATGGTTGGTATGTCTTCCTAACCAATGGCACCACAAAGCTTCTAACTCCGTGGTCATCTCTCGCCTCGACTCCTTCAACTCCATCCTCACTGGCTTACCTTTACATAGCCTATCTCCCCTCCAGTCCATCATGAAGGTTGCTGCCAGCCTCATCCACCTTACCAATCGTTCAGTGTCCTCCACCCCTCTCTGCCAATCCCTCCACTGGCCTCCATTCAGTGTCCTCCGCCCCTCTCTGCCAATCCCTCCACTGGCTTCCATTCAGTGTCCTCCATCCCTCTCTGCCAATCCCTCCACTGATCTACATTCAGTGTCCTCCATCCCTCTCTGCCAATCCCTCCATTGGCTTCCATTCAGTGTCCTCCATCCCTCCCTGCCAATCCCTCCACTGGCCTCCATTCAGTGTCCTCCACCCCTCTCTGCCAATCCCTCCATTGGCTTCCATTCAGTGTCCTCCATCCCTCCCTGCCAATCCCTCCACTGGCCTCCATTCAGTGTCCTCCACCCCTCTCTGCCAATCCCTCCACTGGCTTCCATTCAGTGTCCTCCATCCCTCTCTGCCAATCCCTCCACTGGCTTCCATTCAGTGTCCTCCACCCCTCTCTGCCAATCCCTCCACTAATAAAAGAGTAAAAAAAAAAGTATTCCAGGATAAAGAAATAGTATTCCAAGATAAAAAAAAAAAGTACTCCAAGATAAAAAAAAAAAAATTGCAGACAGAAAACATTTGCATTTTAATGCCAATCCTTTTTTTTTCAGCGGGGTTGTCCAGTTCTGAGAGGGCGTCATATGACATCCTCCCAGAATGCGCCCCCTGCGCCGTGCACCCGGCGTTGTCATAAGGAAACAGTTGATCTCATGACAATGAAAAAGGCCAATCACAGCAGCCTTTTATCATGTGATCAGCTGTCGCGTTTCAGGAGTTGAACTCCCTTTCTCAGAGCTCTGAGGAAGGCAGTTGGACTCCTGAAAACACGTTAGCGCTTTTCACCCAAGGACCTCTGCTATCTGCGATTGTCGTCTTTGGCTCCTTGTCTCTGTTTTTATGACCTTTTTGGTTTGTGAGTATGCATTTGTAATTTTACAAAAAAATTCCTATTTCTCATGGTAATGCACAAGGAGAGTGCGCCCTGTTTTTATTCTTTTTTTGCCAGTATCAACATTCCCCGATCTATCAAGGGGCGA